TGTATCCGGTGGCATGGTCTTATCAACTATTTTTTGTGTTATACTCGCTGTCTGATTTGTATTAATAGTTTTTTTCTATTCTTCATCTAATATGTAACATGTAGATACTTAAGTACTGTAAATATGAACATTATAATGTAATTATTGGTGGCAGTGGCATGGTGATCGCTTAGAGGTGGTTGCTCGATTTATTTTATATGGGATTGAATAAAGCCAAGGGTTTATAGTACTCATAAGTCCCATAACTTATATAATTATGTTGTATTAAATATTTAAATATATACATAGATTCATGGTTAGCTATATATGTGCTTCAACTAATAAAAATTCATAAAATTGGTAATAATCATCAAACAAAATGTTGTGATACGGTGAAACAAATAAATGTATTAAAATGTGAAGCGTGTTTATTTAATAATTTCATCGGTGGGTATCGATGTGATTAGTGGATAAGTGATATATTGGTGGGTATTCATGGAAATATTTTTTTGGAAGTATATAAACACTTCACCATGAATGGTAATATGTGACGTAATAATATGAGTAACTTAAATCCTGCTCGTTTATCTGGAAACCCTCAATCTAATCAAGATCTCGTCATCGAGAAAAAAGTGGTGAAAAAAATGTCGTTAGCCGACGATAATACTATAATTGTGTATTGTCGAATCTGGAGTTGTTTTTAGTTAACTTGTCGAGTTGTTACACGGTTAAGTATAATAGAGTAATAATTAAGTGAATAAAATAAATGTATGTAGCTGCATTTACTGCAACTTTATATTTACACATTTACACATAATTTGATTTTAACATACAGCCATGACGTGTACTTGCGAAATAATAAAACTTGACCAAGCCAGGTTTTTAATAATAATCTTCCGTAAGTCTTGATTGATAATTATTTATTCTGTGATAGTGTGACGTCTAATATGCAAAAGAGTTTTTATACCTACTGTGTAAATTGTTTTGAAAAAAATTAAAAATACAAAAACATAATACAGTGGTGTTTCTTAAATAAATTGATTTTTCATCATACTGATAAAATAACTATAAAAGTAATGTATTCCAAAACACTTGTAATTCGCTAAGTCTTAGTTTATCATTCAATACGATTTTTAATTCTTATGATATTTGTTATTAATTAATTAATGTTATGACATTTCATTGACTTATTAGAAGTACCAAAAAGATATTATTTGGTATCATTTTTTTAATAATATTTTTTATTAAATAAAGTTTTACCGACTTATGTCAACTTAACTTTTTGCTTAAAATACATTTTTGTTTTAACATATGAAAATAGATGACAATAAAATAATTTGGAATCATGATCCTCAAAGTTGATGGTTGAAATATTTTTCTACTATTAACCGTGTTATCGACGCAATATAACACACATCGTTGTAAAATTAATAGGTATTTTCATCTATCTAAAAAATAAAACACATATTATAGTAGTTGAGTGATGTGTTGTTATCAAAATATATAAGTACACGAGTATTCGTTTCATACATATTAAGCAATTACTTTCATTAAGTCTGCAACATTCTATATACTTAATACCTACCAAACACTCATTTAAACTATCTCGAGGAAATCAATACAATGTCCTAAATCCTGATAATATTAGGTACTGTGTTTGGAAATAACGATTTTGTGAACACGTGTTCATTGCGTTCAAGTTCAAATATTGAGAGCAACATGTGAAAGATACCGTAAGTCACAACTCATCTACATCAAATAAAATTATATGACATGAGCTTGGGCGAAATAAAAATATTATGAAAGTTAAACGATTTATTGGGCTTTAAAATAAAATACATTTTTTTTTAAATTTATTTATTTTACCAAGTGCGTTCGTGTACAGTAAAGGTTCGGATCATTAGTATGTATAATAAAAGCTAAACGGTTTTATTTTATTAAGGAGTTTTACCTATGCAATTCATTGTCATTATGTGTATAGTTGTTAGTATGTTTATAACTACCTATATAATAATTTGGGGTTTTTGTATGATGTTGAGGATTGATTTCTTTTAGGAGCACCAAATTTGGACACCATACATCTCAAAATTGGTCTTAAAAGGGTCTATAGAGTCTAAGACTTAGTTTAGTGTGGAGTGAAAGCTTTGATCTTGCGTTTAGAAAATATTTAATGATACGAAAACGAAAATTTTGGAGTAGTTTGGTTTTGTTGGTATGGTGGGTCCAAGTCATTTTTTCGTTAAAATGCACATATACCGAAGCTATATATGTTTAGTAAGGAAGGTAGAGTTTGTTCGAACATTCTATTATGTATGGAAATTCGCTAATTTACTATTTACCTTTGATGATCCAATATCGTAAAAATGTTAAGTTCAAACGCTCATCAAAAATTAATGTTACTTTCCGGTAAACGTTTTTTTTTTTGTTTAAGGTAGAACAATTTGTGGAGAAATCTTTTATAAAATGTCTAATGTTGTATGGAAAAAAATCTTTTATGAATTTCACACTAAAAAATAATTTGGTAGATTCGATTGATTTAATTTTTTTAAGATTTTGATGAATTTCGTCAAAATTTGATCTTTAAATGCATATAAAAAATAACCATGCCTGTACCATCTTTAATACTTTTGAGCTTCTATTAATGAACCTTATAAGAATGCTTGCATTCAATTTTCAAGCTTTTTCACTAATCGAGATAAAATTTTAAAAAAATGTAAGAGGCTATAATTAGCTCAAAAACAGACAAAATATTTCGAAAACGTTCGTTACCATGTATGGAGAATATTGAGTGAAAATATCAAGTGTCTACATTTATTAGTTTTTAATTTACACCAAAAAAATAAAATCAATTTTTTCTTGACGCTTTCTAAAATACTTGGAAATTTTCAATTGTGTCCTTTCAAAAGTACCAACTAGAATAAGTAAACATTTTTAGTAAACAGAAATTATAATTTAAAAGGATCTCTGTTATGATATCTGAACACAAATTATTAGAGCAATGACAACGAAAAATAAATAGTCATGGGGTGGAAAGGGAAACGAAAAGTCGTTTTCTAGTGTTTAAAATTAGGAACAAAAAAAGTGATGAAATCTTTTAAAGTTTTCGAAACGAAACTTAGAATTTTAAAAATACTTGGAATGATGATGTGACGTTATTGTTATTACCTACTTAATTCGTGGTCAGAATTTTGAATTCGATTACTAATGTTTAAGAGATTTATTTTATTTCACTGTAAGTAGTTTTTTTTTTATGTCTAAAAAATCAATACTAATTTTACTTCTTCTATTATATTGATTTTATAAGTTGGTATTCTTATATCTATATGATAACTTTGAATATTAATATGGATACTAATATTTTTTAAGCATACCTAAATATAAAAAGTACCTACATATTTATAACTGTGCGTATTATTATTAAACCCACTAAAAATAATTTCAACGTCACAAACTATTATTGATTAGTAAATTAGTCTGAATAAAATGCAGAACCGAAATTTTTATAAACTAGTAATTTTGTGTATATTAACTATAATATCTTCAATGTGTGTCGCGTATATTTGTCTTGCACATTGTTTATGCACTAAAATGATGTTTGAAAAAAAAACAATCTAAAACGAATTATGATTTACGAGCGTAAACCCCGAAACTTGATGTGAACAACTATACGTAAATCTTGTTATACATTTTAAACATTATAATGTTACGTTGCGCATGAACAATCCGCCAGAACTAATCAACGTCGTTTTTGATGAATTTTATTTAAGTTTTCACGACGGCAGAGGACGACGCTTAATAGATATTTGAACGCCATTTTATTATATTACGCCACGAGTATCATTTGAAGTATCTTAGCGGTGTTTTCAACCAAGCCAAGACGATAATAATATTGGATCGGCAATAATAGCAGAGAGGAGTAGCGAACCCGGTGACGCTGAAACCTAAGAACTGCGTTAGGGCCAACTTATATGAAAGACACCACCACTGCCGCCATATTATACATAGACGGATGTTTCGTGCAGTTTCTAGAGGTGCTATGGTTTTAAAAATACATCCTCGATCAATGCCAAATAAATACTTATAAATCGTAGCGATGACAACGACGGTAAATCGTGCAAAACCATTAAGACGCGTTAAGTGTATTGGCGCATCTACATTTTGTTTATTAAAATATTCCAGGGATGATAATATGTTTTCAAAATAATTTAACAACAATTATATCGATGTATATATTTAAAATAATATATTAGAGTGTAAACGAATTACTACAAAATAAATGTAATATATTGTCACTTAATGGTAAATAATGAACTTGTGTTTTTAAGGAGACTTATAACAAACCTTCTGTTTCAAGTTTTTTTCGGGGGGAGGGGGCTGATTAACTTAAGAATAATATTATATACCTATTGCGTAAGCACTACAGCTAGATTTTCGACCATTACATTTTGTCATTACTATTGCATAATATGGGTACCTACGAGTTGTGCTAACGTTATAATTTATAAAAAAAACTGCCTATAATGTCAACTAACGGAGGTTATAGGTATAAATTATAACATCACAGACTAATTCTTTTTATCAAAATTTCATGTATGGTTTCCATTACATTTAACGTTCATAGTTGAAATTTAATAAAATCAAATTGGATTCATCACTAATTTTATCTGTTACCCATAAAATAATTCTAGAATTTTACAGATTTTTAAAATTAAATCTCGAATTAAGTGCGTATAAATGGAATCATACAAGTCGTTAATTTTTCACATATATTATTATTATGTGCTTGAATCACGTCGACAGACTAATTTTTTAACAACACTGAATATATTTTCCGAGGATAACTGATGTAGAAATTACTCGATTACGTAGCCGAGTGTAAATATTATTTCGCTGTGCACACAATTTGTTTTGTTTGTCGTAATAATGGATTAATATTTACGTAAACTATAATTATCTTTAACTTTATTACCGTTAACAGTTTTTACAACTTAATCTTTTGTAAAGTTAATGAAAATCGTTATGCAGGTAGGTACATTAGTGGAAAACTGTATAAACAAATTATGCGTTTTACTTACACCAGAAACAGTTTCTAACCAACACCGCTATTGTTGTTATACGTTAAACGTTCAAGTGAAGTAAACTAACAACCGGTAAAAATTCAAAAACATATTTATTTTATGATTTGTTTTTTTTTTATAGGTGAAAATGTCGCAGATGAACATCCCACAACTAAAAGTATAGCAAAATTCAAAACTATTTTTACTGTACACAAAAATGCTTGTATGATAAAATAAAATGTTTTTATTATTTGAACATAAAATTTTGTACAAACCAATTTAATAATGTTTATGTTAAACTGTAAGTATTGATTTATATACCTAAGTATCTAGCCTTACCTAGTTTTGATTATACCTACATAATTGCAACGCATTATATTAAACGTATTGAGTATTAATATAAAAAATAATTAAATGTAATTACTAATTAACATACTATTCTTTATACATAATTGTTTCCTGTGACATAATGTTGTTGTTTTTACGTTTCACGTCTACTATTCACATCCACTGCAAGTATTAAATCAGTGTATAAAATAATCTGTTCTAACTTCTAGGTATCTACATAAATCATACTTCGTGTTTCATTATTTTTCTATTCGTTTTGACTGTCAAAGTCTAACACTGTCTATAGGACACGGATAGGCACTTTTGTAAAAAAAAAAATTAAGAAGTTCACACCGTTCATTATAGTGCGTGCCGTATCTAAATAGGTATGTTTAAGGATTCTTATATGCAAATTAATTTTTTTTTATCTATCTGTCATTTGTTTTTTATTTTTTTGTGAGAAATGTAATGTTTCTAGACCTAGCAATGATTCTACAGAAAAACCAACAGATTTTCCTCCATACAACTAAAAATGTGATCAAACACTAAAAATAAACGAAGTACATAATAATGCAGAAAAATGTTAACGGAAGCAAAATACTAAAGGTATCTATATAAAAAGTGTAATCAGGTATTATAATCGTATTACTGTGGTGTTAAATAGTTTAATCTTATAAATGTACAACTTACTATAACTGAATTACGTATACTACCAAACTATAGTTATTATAAATATGTCTATCCACATTATATTACAAAATATGTAATATTAAATTATAATTTATTACATTTTACTGTTCAATATTTCCTTTGAGTTAACTTCCTTATCGTTTGTTAATACTTAATTGTTATTAATGTTTTGAATTGAAGATCCAGGTGAATTATTAATACACAACATTATCAAGGTGTCGTCACTAGTTTGAAAACTTGATTGAATATAAAACTCTATAGATAGTCATTATCACCAAGAGCGCTGTATGTCTTATGAAGGATAATAATTTATTAATACATGCTAAATAGTGAATATTGTATGAATTTATTATTTCAACATTTTATTCAGAATCAGTTTTTAGTAAAAATTCTAATTGTCATATTTGTTTTTAAATTTAAAATACTTTGTTGATGTTAATAATATTTTAAATATGTATAACAGTTTTAAATAATGAATAATACTTTATTTTTTTACTTTTTAGATTACTTTCATATTATATTTTCTATAATAATAAACTTATTATATTAAAACTTAGGCCCGTTTCACATTGACGTGTATCAATCATTTGCTTCGATTTACATTGCTAAGATACTCGCCACTCCGATAATGGCACATATTATTTTGAACTTAACCAATGTAAACTAAAACTTGCCCGTATGTACCGCATCCATGCAAAATGTTAAATGGGTCTCATGACTGAATTCACTAAAATATTATGACTTATGAGTAATGCGTTGAATGTATAAAAAATAATAATTTACTTACTTGATAAAGTATTAACTACCTATATAAACTTATGCGTTGATGATTGATTCTGTTTTATTTGTAGTCAGCTGAGATGCTGAGCAAATAATTTCGGGCAACAAGTAAATAATATGTTGAATACTATACGAGACACGAGTAGATATAGTAATTATTATTGCGTAAACGAGTTAATTCCATATTATTTTGTGCGCAAACGAGTTCCAGTTTCTAATGGAAAATTTTAAAATGTGCTCAAACTGGTTATAGCTTGTAGTCAAACAAATGGTCATTAACCATGGTAAAGTAACTTATAATATTGATATATTATTAAGTTAGGTACCTATATCTAAAGTTTTAATTAAATGGCTCGAATAAAAGCGTCTACTGACTTATGCAATTTGTAGTTTTTAATGTAGAGAAAGAAGTATAATAGTTTTACAACTATGACATACGTTTACACAATTCTAAGTCATAAGTCATCCTCTCCACAACAATCACAATAATAGTAGGTGCCCGATATCCGCCTATAATGCCGTCGAGCTGGTGATGGGAGCAGGAAAACATTTTGGTTAATAATAATGAGCAATCTTCAGGTGTATCTGGACTATTTGGTACCTATTAAATATATAGCAGGATACTCTGGCTAATATGTTTTTTTAGTCTTGGATCCATGTGTCTGTAGGAAAAACAAGTGCTTTCCTAGTTTATGTCGGATTCTAAAGAAAAATACTTTATCGTTGTAGGTTAAGCCTTCAGCTGTGTATGTAAATATGACAAGATTTTTCACCGTGAAAATTGCATAAGTTCTAAATTTATTTAACTTATAATTAAATTATAATTAATTTATCAAAACATATTAATTATAATAATGATACATATACCTACCTATTATATTAATTTTAAAACTATTATTATTTGTGTAACATATAGACGTAATTACGAGAATTACTAAGAATAAAATAGTAAAATCTATTACCTACACGCCTGTCTACAGCTGAAAGTGGGCAGCTAAAAGAGAATACTAATTATATAGGTACCTTAAATATATGAACCGATAGATTAAAAAAAATGATTGCGTAAATATTTTAATCAAGGCTACAAGATTGTATTAACCACTACAAAATAATAAATATCTTATGATATTAGAGCGACATTAACACCAGGACCAAATAAAGAAAATTTGTATATTCGTTATAACTTATAACTCTTAATAATATGATAAAGTTTACGTACGTATAGGTAACACATTAAAACCTCATACGAAAATACAACATTAAGAAGAAGAACTATAACTGTTATACGTAACAACATATTCAAATATAAAGTCAGATCCTAAAAAAAATTTAGATGTGCCTATAAATTGCTTGCGCGCAAGCGTGTGATGTACTTTAACCCATCAACACTGTAAACATTATCATTTATCAATTATTTTAAAATGTATTAATAATATTTATAATTTCAAACTAGAGGTGGCAGTGACGTAATTTCTTATCGAATAACACTGTTATCCCCTAGATAGTGGCGTTGTAACACGTGTGTTCATGCACAAACGCATCTTGTTCAGATATTTGCTCAAAATTGGCTACATTTTGAAAATACGATCAAAGGAAATGTTTCAAAATACACGTATACACATGCAACAAAATAGTAATTATTCGATACCAACATATTATGAGTTTATTAAACATGTATAATATACAAATAAATTGTTCACCACTAATTAGTAACTATTAATTAATAGACAAATAAACGTATTTTAGTAATAAAAAAATATATATACGCCAAACAGCTGATTAAAATAATATTATTTGTGACTACGACCTAGCTACGTAAGGTTACTACATTATGTTTAATATTTTATAAATAAATGGGTTTTAAAATATTAGTATTTTCTATCTATTCATCAAATACTCTAAGGTCTAAGTACAATAGCTATAATATACGTTTTAGTGTTGACGATGGGGTCTGGAATTGTATGGCAAAAATAATGCAAGAGAATATGCACAACCCTTAAAAATATGAAAGAATTTACATACAAAATTAATATAAATATATAGCATTATATATGTGTATATAAATTAATGTTTTTTCATTGTTTATTTGTCCTTTATATACTCAAAAATAGACATGAAATATGTTTCAATCGAAATTATATCAATAGATTCTTTGCGACTCGGAGGGTGTTATTAGCTTATTTTCTTAACCCCTATAGGTTGATATAGAGTGACTAACATATAAATTTAGTTTTGATTCATGGACATAGAAAACATTTTTATTTATTTAAATGGTTTGCATGGACTACAAATTATACATTTATACTATTATTATAATAATAAGTACAAAATATATGACATATAAAAATGTTTACAAATATATTTTTTCTTTTAAAATGAATGTTAAAATCAAATAAGTACCAGTACCTATAAACAAAATTAACTTTTATGATTTGCTTTCTTAATTCTGGGTATATTTTTGACGTAAACAATAAATACATTAAGACGAATACTAATCTTAACGATATTGGATTTACGTCGACTTTCTTTGAGAATTCGTTGAGCGCAACTCCATATTTTTTGTGTCAACATAAAAAATACATCTAGAATGAATAAATGGAATAATCATGAAATTCATAATTTTTTGTGTATGTATTAAATATTTCAACCGAAGAAAGCAGAATATAGTGGATTAATGTTTTAAACCCAGATAAAGTCAGGTAATAAAACTAATAATATTAAAATAATAAAACATAAATGTAATCTAAAAATAGTACAAAGTTTTTGAACATGTACAAATGTAGAGGTATTGCTAACTATTTTTACTAAATGTATTACAAAGCAATTTTAACGGCTTTAATATAATAAATTATAAATTTATAACAGACCGATCGTTTAATTGTCTTAAGCTCAAAATAACTTAGGAACCAGTAACAATCAAAAATGTAAAGAAACTTTGGGCACAATTTAAATTATTTTATTTAATATTTTAATGTACTTAAAATATACGACTTTATGCAAAATTATCTTGAACTTTGTAACTTATATTAATTTTTACTCAAATATGCGAAATATGCAAAATATGCCCAAAACAAAAGAGAGAAGGTACCAATCGCATAACGTCAACATATCAAAATTATTCAAGTCTAAGTGTAGAAAAATATATTTGAAATTTGAATAAAAATCCGGGCCCTAGTTATGGCCATCAATGACATAATCACAAAATCAAACATCGATATCGTTCGAATTATCCCGAAATCGTAAATAACACGGATAATCACTGTATCATATTATTTCGTCAGTATCGTCGTTTTTGATCTCTAGCCGTAGGGTTCTCTTCATTGATAAAATTTAATAATTTTTCAAATCGAAGTTTTGCGTTCATCGAACAAAAATTTCAAACCACAAAACCTATAGCATCGAATAGCAATCCTATCCACCACTTTCAATAAACTCAGACTTTATAGGTAAATCGAATAATTCTTAAACGTTATCGATATCAAATATTTGCCAGGATATCGATATCACACCGATTTATGATTATCGTTTTCTACTAATATTTATCGGTTAGTATATAGTCTTATTGTATTATTGCTTAGGTATATATTTAAAATTATATAAAAATGCCTATCTATAATGTGTGCGTATAATTATTGGTACTTGGCAACCGAGTTAAAGTATAGTTAAACTGATATTATTAGGTTATAGGCTAACTTATTAGTTCAGACTATTATAATGATAAATGTGTAACTATGGCGATTAGGCAGTAACATTTATTACGAAATACTCACTTACAATTAATTTCTCCCATAATTATATTATATTAGTAGTGTCAATATCAATGTATAGTGTTCCGATGTTTGTACGGTCCAGTCTTGTAGGTACATAATACCATATCATGTTCAGCATGGCGTGTACTTACACTTGCTGCACAATAGCTTGTTAAATATCATTAGTAGCATCCAAAGTCCATTTGAAATACCTGCGTAGTGCAAAAATATTCCCTTTTAGGTACCTATATAGGTAGGTACTAAATAATAATATAATACGCATAAACAATATAAATAGATTACAGACATTTGTAAATAAACGTTGAAACTTTCTTACAAATTGTAATATATATATATAACCGACAGTGAAATAAGTACCTAATTACTAAATTTTGAGTTTCAATATTTTCACTGCCTTTGCGTTCTATAAATTTAACATTTGTTAACGCGCATATTATATCTATAATCTATATAAACGAACGATTCAATACTAATGTTAAGTAGAAATAATTATTATATTTTTAATTTTTAAAAAGAACACTCTTAATTTCGGTTGTGTAATTGTATGTA